TTTGCTTTTTACTCTCCCGTTTATTGTCGCCTTTGACGTGTTTGTTTTTGTTCTTCTATGTCATTTCCTTGATTGAGTCTCATATTTTGTTTAGCCTAGTTAGATGCTTAGGTCACACACTAGGAACATAATAAACGCAAAAATACTATGTTGATTCTTAGCAGACTGAAACCTTAAGATTCATAATTTGATAAAGGACTGCATGGACATCTTAGCTGACCATCAATCAAGTTTAGGTGCTGAAAGGACACTAGTTAGATAACTAATGTAATCAAATCCCCGACCCTAGATCTTTGGTTGGTTAGCTTCGTTTCTAGCCGACTGCAATTGGCTAGTGGCGACTCCTCATATAGAATTCTCATAGGGTTAATTGAATTAAAATGAAAATCCCAACGTTGCGCGAGATAAGGATTTGGAAGAGCCCGCGTAGATTGAAAATCGTTGGTCACCAATTTGACATTACCTCTAAATCCATCATTTCCCTGGACCCTCGTGTCGAGAGGGTCGCGACAACGATTTATCTTACCAAAGGTTCCATACTTCGCCTAAACATGATTCTATTATCGTCCCAACAATTTTTAATGTTTCTATCGCAAATCTCCTAAACGGTGTTGCCTATATTGATTGAGTTGAACCACGATATTGCGAAGCATGCGACAAGATGCAGCTATAGTTCGTCTTCGCATTGGCTATGGAGTTTGATTATATTCTTTGCCGTCTAGTGTTTATGACGAAAATTTTCTTTTTGGGTTTGCGTCGTGTTCACACACACATATATAAATATATATTATATAGAAGATGGATGTGGAGCAATCACGGACTATGTCAAAAGATTGATCCAAATCCCACATGGCATTAAGTCATGACATGTATAAAAACAATCAATGGGATCTCGAACAGACAAGAAAGAGAAAAAGATTCGGTGGATCGTGGATGCAATGAAATCCATGGAATGTACGATCGAAAATGTGTGGTCTAGAAATGGATTGTCTTCATTGGACGATGCTCCTATGATGTGAGCCACTTGCTCTTGAAATATAGCACTTCAAAAACTTGAGCAAGATGCTTTGATACCAATTGATATGGCTAAAACAACAATCAAAAAGGGGTGATTGGTTGTATATCAAAGGAGATTAATTATGCAGATGTAGTAACTTCTAAGAGATAGAAAATATTTCAAGATGAATTCATGGTGGTTCAGCCTTTCACTTGACACAATTTACTCTCTCAACTCTAACAGACATGAACAAGACTTGAATCCATCAGGTAATTGCCGAGATTTTACGGTTTGTAGACGGTGCTCCCACTATAAGAAGCTCAGATGACGACTCTACAAGTGCAAGCACCTCTTACAACCCTACAATCCCCTCTCCTCCTAGATTTCAAGAATTTTAGCCCTCGCATAGAATTACCATCTGAAGACAAACATCGCACAAGCGAAGGCTAGAGCGTATGCCGCGACATAGTGAGAATGCAAGTCCAGAATTTCCGGCCATCTTCGAAGTTACCTTTGATCTGCTTATATAGGCCTTCAATCTTCAAAGGCGTTAGTTGGGAGCTGTTTCCGGAGTCAAATGAGCCGTTGACCGTCTTCTCTAGCAATCATACCTGCAATCTGCGGAATTAGAGTATACTCTTAAAAGACAAAGCAAGGGGTGTTTTTCCATTATTAAGATTGATCAACAAAAAATTGATGTATTGAGCCGTACGTTTTGTTCATTAAGGAAGGAGATTAAAATACCATTTGTTACTTGAAAACACCCGGCCATTTTGGTTGGGTAATGGAGATAAGGGCAGGATAGAATGTGTTTGTGGGGGCCAACAAAATGGGGTTAAATTCATCGAGGAGGAGGGATTCCTTAAAAACCAGCCTGCAATCTGCGGTGTAGCGCCGGGTGGTGTACTCGGATTGTTACTGGAGCAGCAAGGGGACGGAGAGGAAGCAGAGCTGTGAGTTTTGATCGTGAGGAGGCAGGGAGAGAGCGAGCGGCGGAGTCGTGAACTTGGAGAGAGAGGGAGAGAGAGATAACGTCCAATAAACGGAAAAGCAACGGAGCAGAGGGGGCGGGGGGAGAGAGAAAGGAATCGGAAGGTGGGTCCGGATTGCCACGTGTCGACCTCTGGATGGTTTGCTGCATACTCGGTTCACCCTTTTCACCCTTTTCTTTTTCCTTTTTTTTTTTCAAAAGTCCTTGCCCTTTTTCACCCGCATCCCTCAGGTCGAAAAAATGGGCTAATTTAAAAAAAAAAGAATAAATTTTATTTTGAATGACAATTCTGATTCGAATTTTTTTTTATCTTAATAAAAAGTACCAACTTTTATTCGAGTCTTAAATTTGGCTCCCGTGATGTAAAATGTTCAAATTATTCGGGCAAGATTTGTGATTTAAATTAAAATTGATGATTTTTTATGAGATAAAAAAGTTCGAGTCAAAATTATTATTCAATAAAATTTACGTTTTTTTTTTTTTGGAATTAGACTGTCCAAAAAGGGGTGAGCCCAGGGATGTTACATTCCCATTCTTGCGGTCACAAGAATAGCAAAAAAATTTCTGACCAAAAACAAAAAAAAAGAATAGCAAAATACCAAAATTGCTACTCTTAAAGAATAGCCCGTGGAAAAAGGGTGAGCCGGGGCATGTAATTCTTTCCGTGGAAAGGAACTTTGGTCCGGGGCCCATTACCTATTAGAACCAAGATATAGAGGCGTGCATGGTCAAGGTACCGGACCAGGCAAGTACCCGTGGAAAAGAGAGATAACGATAAGAGATAACGGGCGTTACCTATTAACACCAAAGATCTGATCTTTGGTGTTAACTTGCCTGGTCCGGTACCTTGACCATGCACGCCTCTATAAATAACACCATCCCCTACGACATTTTTCTCGCCCAGTTCTCTCTTTTCTCCCTTCTGTCCCTCGCACTCTCGTCACTGCAACAGACTACAGTTCTGTCTCGTTCCCCGGTTCAGTCACCACCAAGGTGGGATCCGTGCATCGCTCGCATTTCTCCATTCTTAGACTGGGTAACTGAGTGAGTTCCACTACGTTGCTTACCTGTAGTTGATGTTTGTACGATGATGCAGAGAAATGGCGTCCCACGTCGCTGGATATCCTCGCATGGGCCCCAGGAGGGAGCTCAAGTTCGCCCTCGAATCGTTCTGGGATGGAAAGAGCAGTGCAGAGGACTTGCAGAAAGTTGCGGCTGGTCTTATGTCATCCATCTGGAAGCAGATGGCCGATACCGGCATCAAGTACATTCCCAGCAACACCTTCTCATACTTTGATCAGGTGCTCGACACCACCGCGATGCTTGGTGCTGTTCCTCCTAGATATGGTTGGGACGGCAGCGAGATCGGGTTCGATGTGTACTTCTCGATGGCCAGAGGGAACGCCTCCGTCCCTGCCATGGAAATGGCCAAGTGGTTCGACACCAACTAGTAAGTGCTATGGTTCTCAGACAAAAGCGCCAGTAAATCGTTTTTGTCTTCTGATGTTTAACTTAACCCCATCCATCTCTCATTTTTTGGTCTAGCCACTACATCGTGCCTGAATTGGGTGTCAACTTCTCTTACGCTTCTCACAAGGCTGTCGCCGAGCACAAGGAGGCCAAGAAGGTAAAAAACGCTGGTTCTTATTATTTCTTCGTTCTTGCTGTCTCAGCTGCCCGTTCCATTGGGTTCTATCCTTTCTTCTTCCTTTTTTTTTTTTGGGATCGAATTGGGTTTTTTTTATGTTTTATGTGACCTGATCCAAAACCCGATCCGCATGCAACCCGAACTGGATAACGAATCAGGTCGGATCGCGTCGGGCTATCGGCTCTTTTTTTTTGGGGGGGGTGTCGCTCTTTGCACTCCCTCTTCACTCTTGAGCCGAGACCCGGTGTCGCTCTTTGCACTCCCTCTTCACCGGTGTCGCTCTTTGCACTCCCTCTTCCCTCTTGAGCCGAGACCCGGTGTCGCTCTTTGCACTCCCTCTTCACCGGTGTCGCTCTTTGCACTCCCTCTTCACTCTTGAGCCGAGACCCGGTGTCGCTCTTTGCACTCCCTCTTCCCTCTTGAGCCGAGACCCGATGTCGCTCTTTGCACTCCCTCTTCACCGGTGTCGCTCTTTGCACTCCCTCTTCACTCTTGAGCCGAGACCCGGTGTCGCTCTTTGCACTCCCCCTTCACCGGTGTCGCTCTTTGCACTCCCTCTTCACTCTTGAGCCGAGACCCGGTGTCGCTCTTTGCACTCCCTCTTCACCGGTGTCGCTCTTTGCACTCCCTCTTCACTCTTGAGCCGAGACCCGGTGTCGCTCTTTGCACTCCCTCTTCACTCGTGAGCCGAGACCCGGTGTCGCTCTTTGCACTCCCTCTTCCCTCTTGAGCCGAGACCCGGTGTCGCTCTTTGCACTCCCTCTTCACCGGTGTCGCTCTTTGCACTCCCTCTTCACTCGTGAGCCGAGACCCGGTGTCGCTCTTTGCACTCCCTCTTCACTCTTGAGCCGAGACCCGGTGTCGCTGTTTGCACTCCCTCTTCACCGGTGTCGCTCTTTGCACTCCCTCTTCACTCTTGAGCCGAGACCCGGTGTCGCTCTTTGCACTCCCTCTTCCCTCTTGAGCCGAGACCCGGTGTCGCTGTTTGCACTCCCTCTTCACCGGTGTCGCTCTTTGCACTCCCTCTTCACCGGTGTCGCTCTTTGCACTCCCTCTTCCCTCTTGAGCCGAGACCCGGTGTCGCTCTTTGCACTCCCTCTTCACCGGTGTCGCTCTTTGCACTCCCTCTTCCCTCTTGAGCCGAGACCCGTCCTATTTCGGTGTTTTGACCGTATTATCGTTCTTTGTTTTTTTTGGTCGAAGTATTATCTTTCATGGGTTCCACTTTTTCATTGTTCCGTTTGCCTGACGACACCGTTAGAACTTGAAAATGGCAAAACCAAACTCAAGGTGGGTCCCACAGTCCCCACACTCTTCTTCGTTTCACGCATTTGGGCCAGCGTAATCTCCGCCCCTCTCCACCTCTTTGCTGCCGGTCCTCGAAGCGCTGCCGCTCATCATCATCATCCTCGTCGCCATCCGCGCGAATCTTTTGCGCCTCGCGGCCTATCCTCTCGGGGCGACGGCGATGGTGCTTCGACTTCGACTTCCACTTCCTCCGCGAATCAGAAGAACCCGCCGGTGAAGAGACTGGATCGGACGTCGTGGTGGACTTCCGATGGCAATTTCCGCTTCGGCGGCGAGAAAATTGCCGGACAATCCCACGAATAGTAGTAAGCCAATCCTCCGGTTTCTCGTCCGGTTTAGGCCGAGTCTCTCCTTCAAACGCCGACTTCGTCTTGCGATTGCTCGAATTGTGGAGCGTTGTTTGGGGTTTGGAGAGAGGGAGGGATTTGAGCTCGCGGAGACGGGGCTCGAGGTCGGAGGGCAAGAGGGAAGTCGTCGGCGGCAAAGGAGGAGCAGTTTGATGGCTGCCATTTGCTCGTGGACGCAGAGGTCCTTGGTCTAAGAAATGAGGTCTTCCGCTGCGGAGTCGTCGGTGTCGAAAAGGTGGGAGAAATAGGCCATGGCTTTCTTCTTCTTCTGGGTATCTGATGTGTCATCGTGATTTCTGATCAGTGATTATGGTCGTGGGGGGTTTTGTCAGGTTTCTTGCAGAGTTTTTGGATGACTACATCGCACGTGAGGCTAATCATCCAAATGCGTGAAACAAACAAGTGGGGACCGTAAACCGAGGAGTGGAAATAGCGGCCCCTTTAAAGAAATGTTCCAAAAAGTCCATTTCATGTTTTCCCCAATGCGATTTGCTCTCTCCTCCCTCCCTTTTCCGTCTCACTACTTTCCCAGCCGCCGCCAACCCCACGACCCACCTCCGATCTCGATGGCAACCGCCGAAAGCCTCGGATCTGCCCGACCATCCCCTGACCCTCCCCTCTCCCAACTCCCAGCGTCTGCAACGCTCGACCCGGGTTCAACGACGGTCGTCGACGCTCCTGCAGACCAGCTCAGGCCGCCGCTTGCCTCGCTAGACCTCGTTCGCGGCTGATCCGAGGCCAAGCCCAGCCTTAAATCTCGATCGAGCTCCCCCGCCCTCGGCGCTCGTCCTCGTCGACAGCGACGACAAAATTCTGACTCTTTCGTTGTTTGTAGTTACTTGTTTGTTTTTCGAATATCTTTATCAGCTCATACATTTTCGTCTTCCTTGTGCCGTTGCATAATCTTAGCATGATTTTAAAGGTATCCGCCTTTTGAATTTATTTGCTAATTCCCAGCTCGGAGTAGACACTGTTCCGGTACTTATTGGCCCGGTGTCCTATCTGCTGCTATCCAAGCCTGCAAAGGGTGTTGAGAAGACCTTCTCTCTTCTGTTCCTTCTCAAAAAAATACTTCCCATCTACAGGTAAGATGTTAACAACTCCTGTCTAGCAGTTTTCATTTGCTCGTGTTTTGATTACGTTTCCTGACCAATGATAAGCCATTCAGGGAAGTCGTCTCCGAACTGAAGGCTGCTGGCGCTTCATGGATTCAGTTTGATGAACCCGCCCTTGTGACTGATCTTGATTCTCACGAACTGCAAGCATTCACTGAAGCGTACTCGGAACTAGAATCATGTCTTTCTGGCTTGAATGTTGTCGTCGAAACCTATTTTGCTGACGTTCCTGCCGAGGCATATAAAGTTCTTACATCCTTGAAGGGTGTCGCTGGATTTGGATTTGATTTGGTCCGTGGGACCAAGACCCTTGATTTAATCAAGGGCGGTTTCCCCACAGGCAAGTATCTCTTTGCTGGAGTTGTTGATGGGAAGAACATCTGGGCCAATGATCTTGCTGGATCACTCGTTACCCTCCATGCTCTCGAGAGCATTGTGGGAAAAGGTACTACTTTCTGCATATGTGTTTTGAAGATCTGTTTTTCATGTATCCTTTAGTTGATATCTGAAATTCCTCATTTATCTGCAGACAAACTTGTGGTCTCCACCTCCTGCTCTCTTTTGCACACTCCTGTTGACCTAGTTTATGAGACCAAGTTGGATAAGGAAATCAAGTCATGGCTTGCATTTGCTGCTCAGAAGGTCGTTGAAGTCAATGCCTTAGCCAAGGCAGTGGCTGGAGAAACGGATGAGGTACGGTTTGTTATCTTTTTGTTAAAGATGATGCTGAAAAGCAGCATAAGATGCCCACAGTCATTGTTGCTACTAGGTAGCCTTAACAGTGGTAATCCATATTGTTAGCTTATTTTCTAGAATTAGTTGCTTCTACTCTATTCCGAATTCTCTTCAGCAGAAACCAATGGGGTTACCTTGTGGTGGGTCTCTTTAATTACTGGCTGTACAGAGCTACATATACATATGGCAGCAACCGGGTAAATATGGTCACTAGGATGCAAAGCTCTTAATTTAAATTAGGCCTGTTAACTAGCACGTATAGGGTGTCTGTTAACCATAATGTTCAATTTCCAAAGTATTTATTACTCTAATGTCGTGAGAGGATATTTCAATTCTTACTGCCGAGCCGATGGCTCTGTTTTCAGGCATTCTTCTCAGCTAATGCTGCTGCTCAGGCCTCAAGAAAGTCCTCTCCAAGAGTCACAAACGAAGCTGTCCAAAAGGCTGTATGTTCCTCTTCTTAGTTTTTTTTTAATGCATTCCTCTGCTTAGTTACTCCACATCTTTTTTTCGTTCCAATGCTACCAATTAAATGATGTTACTGATGTCTTGAGCTCGATATTCTCGTCTCTCTCAGGCTGCTGCTTTGAGGGGCTCTGATCATCGCCGTGCCACAACTGTGAGTGCTAGACTTGATGCTCAGCAAAAGAAGCTTAATTTTCCAGTCATCCCAACAACCACCATTGGCTCCTTCCCTCAGACCGAGGAACTCAGAAGAGTGCGCCGTGAGTATGAGGACAAAAAGTGAGTAAACTAGATCTTTCTTTTTCTAATTTGACATATGATGGATATGACACAGGGCTGTTATCCTTTTCGTTATGACCCCCCTTGGTCCTCTGACCGCACTTTGTTATAGGATCTCTGAGGAACAATATGTTAAGGCCATCAAGGACGAAATTAACAAAGTTGTCAAGCTTCAAGAGGAGCTTGACATAGATGTCTTGGTTCATGGGGAGCCTGAGGTGAGACAGTCTTAGAATCTGGTATTGTAATTAAGACAGATTACGTCGGATAAATAGGTGGCATCTTATGAGCTATGTTTTCTTTCTTTAACATCTTGATCTGGATGTATCCAATGCAGAGGAACGATATAGTTGAATACTTTGGGGAGCAGTTGTCCGGATTTGCTTTCACCGTTAACGGGTGGGTGCAATCTTATGGTAATCATTGTGTGAAACCACCCATCATCTATGGTGATGTGAACCGCCCCAGGCCAATGACCGTCTTCTGGTCCACCACAGCCCAGAGCATGACTACTCGCCCGATGAAGGGAATGCTTACAGGCCCTGTCACCATTCTCAACCGGTCCTTTGTCCGAAATGACCAACCCAGGTACGGAGGAACGTGAATTTCATATGTACATGGTATCGATTAAAGAACATAATTTTTATTTCTTCTTTTGGGACTAGAATAATAGTTTTTATATTTCACAGGTTCGAAACTTGCTATCAAATTGCCTTGGCCATCAAGGACGAAGTTGAGGATCTCGAGAAGGCAGGGATTAATGTTATTCAGATTGATGAGGCAGCTTTGAGAGAGGGTCTGCCACTGAGAAAGTCTGAGCAATCTCTCTACTTGGATTGGGCTGTACACTCTTTTAGAATCACTAACTGTGGTGTCAGGGATACTACTCAGGTTCCTTCATTGCTCCATTCCTTTTTCTTTTTCTTTCTTTTCCCCCTTTTTTTTATGTGGGAAGATCTGTTTCCCATGTATACTGATTTCACTTGGTGGCTATTATTGATCGGCAGATCCACACTCACATGCGCTACTACTGCTTCCGCGACATCATCCCCTCATTCATCGACATGGATGCCGATGTCATCACAATGGAGAACTCTCGCTCTGATGAGAAGCTCCTCTCAGTTTTCCGTGAGGGAGTCGAGTTTGGTGGTGGGATTGTCCCCGGTGTCTATGAAACCCACTCTCTCATAATACCGTCGGCTGAAGAGATTGCTGACAGAACCACCAAGATGCTCGCATCAAACATATTGTGGCTTAACCCTGACTTTGTACTCAAGACTCGTAAACACACTGGGGTCAAGCTTGCTCTCAAGATCTTCGATGCCGCTGCTGAGCTCCTCCGCACCCAACTTGCCCATGCTAAAAAAGAAAAGTTTGAGTAACTTCCCTCGTCCATTGATTCTTCCTACACATCAGGGTGTATTCCTGTCTTTTATTATTTATCCAATAATTGAGTTTCTCTATGGAGTGTTTGGAGTCAATACTCTTTGGGGTATTTTAGTTGTCCTTGTACTCTCTCTGTCTGTCTCTCTCTCTCGTAGAAAATGTTTTGCGTTTGTAAAAGGATAAAAAATGAATAAATTGTTATTGACCTTTTGTGCATCAATATCCTTCTTTCAATTTCATGTCTTTTGGGTATTGTCCCTTGGAAAGAAACTTTCTTGCCGTTTCATTTGAAAACACTTTTGATATCTGTTGCCGAATGCATTGGCTGCTGATGATGTGGCGATCTTAAAACTACCTCGTCCATGTGTGAACATTTCATCTATAAAATCTATTGATTACAGCACTGAGTGCTGAGTTTGAATGAGTACGAGAGTTTGGGGAGCGCAAGATACTCTGACTTGATGTGCTGCAGTGCAAAACTGTAATTTTTGAGTTACCGTATCAGCTCCCTTGAGATCGAGATAACAAATTAGCTATTGCAAGGGTTGTGCTGAGTCATGCTTGTACTCGTGTGGTCTAATATACGATCTGCTTGACCTCCTCTTAAAACTTCTGCAAGGAAGGAACAAATGAAACCCAATCTGTACCCAGGCGAGTATATTTTCATTCATTCATCCGAAGATTTACTTACCTCTGAGTGTATCCTTGCTTGAACCACTCGACTAATCCATAGCAATCAACGCATAGCTGGTAATTATAAACTAGCATTCCTCGAAAAAACTTGATCTGAATTAGCGTCATACAAAATCTCACTATACAAAACTTAATCAGTACAACAAGTCCCCCGAACAATTGCGCCGGGAACACAAGCCAAGTGGCGTGGCCTCCGAATTAAAACATTTGATGCTCCGTCAAACAAGCCACAAATCCATTATAATATATCACCTTAAGACAATTTGAGTAGACTCTTAAAAGACAAAGCAGGGTGTTTTCCATTTACAGAGCCATTTGCTTCTGTATTGTCTGTATTGACTCTCCCTCACAAAAATGTCAAAACTGCCGGATCTCCTCTTAGGCTCCTTTCTGGGGTTCCAGAGGTTGAAGATCTTCTCCTAGGCTCCTTCTGGAGTCCACCATGACCCTCGCCGTTTCTTCTTAGGCAAATGGACAACGTGGTCAAATGAGCACGTTTTCGATGTGTGGGTGGGTACCCTTTTGTTTTCTTGCGGATAGAATTGTCAGATTAGTTAATGTGTCCGTGGTTTTGACCAAAAGGCAAATAAATGTGTCCGCGGGTCCCTCGCCCATCGAAGGAAGATTCCTCGAACAGCCACCACGCAATCTTCTCCACGTTTCCCAATATATTATTATTATTATATATAATATAACATTCGCATATATTTTCCCTCATATTTTTTTTTACATGGGACCAGTCCGATGGTGTCGTCATTTATGTATTGCAAACGCTTTTCATTTATGTGCGCACGCAACGACATGATTTCGTGACACGCGGACGGACTCGGCTGGGTGGAGAACGAGAGAGAGAGAACTTCCCTTGTGATCGAGTCGTGCCATATGACTAGTATTCTCAATGGAGCGGCTTATTTGAAATTAGAATGGATTTTGATTTATCTCTGACTTGTTTGCGTGGAGGAAAATATCAAATTTATTACTTAATTAAATTAACTTGTGTAAGACAATTGCAGCAGCGAGCGAATCTACGAAGACGCTCACTTAAATTACTTCCTTGCTAAGTGAAGCTCATCTGGGAATCTTCGACAAAATGACCAACGGCCCCACGCGCCCTCCAATCAGGGAGTGCAATGCAGTGTGGCCCCACCATTGAATAAGAAAAGGAGAAATCGAAAAGCAAGTTGGTGGCTGGGGATGTTGAGAGTGTTGGTGCGGAGGATTGGTGTTTATTAAGCCGAAAACGTGGACAGACAAGGGACAAGAAACTAGAGCCGAAGTTGGTTCCACCTGCTTCGTCTTCGATTGATGAGTTGACAAATCTCTGTTATGTTCGTAAATGCCGCTACTCTTCATCCCTTTTCCGTCTTTTTAAGAGCAATGAGTGACTAGGAATTGAGCTTAAAACCATGAGCTCTCCGAAGGGGAAAATTACCAAAAAAGTCATAAACCTTTTGCAGTTGTGCCAATTTAGTCCTAAACCTTTTGCAAACCAGCCAATTCAGTCCTTTTGATCGGCCGGCGCTGACGTGGCCGCCGGCCGGCTGATGTGGCGTCGGCCGGCGTCCACTTGGCAATATTTTAATATTTTTTTTGAATTTTTTTCCCTTTTTTCTTTTTTTTCTTTTCCTTCTCCCCCCTGGCCTGTTCGGCCAGGGGGGAGGCTTGCCGGCGAGGCGGAGCTCGCCATGGCTGGGCGAGCTCGCCCAGCTCTGGCATGGCGGAGCTCGCCATGGTTGGGCGAGGGCGGAGCTCGCCCAGCTCCGGCATGGCGGAGCTCGCCATGGATTTTGAGTAGATGTATTTTTAATGAAAAGGCCATCTAAAATTGAATAGATTTCGACTTATCTCTAACTTGTTTGTCCGACTCCGTCCAAAAAAAAAAGTTGTTTTTCCGAGAGAAGATACTAAACTTATCAAAGACCGATTTGTAAAAATCGATTTACTATGTAATAAGTTTTTTTTTCAGTAACATTATAAAATATCACCTAACAAATGAACCGTGTAAAACGATCTCAACATATCTATGAAGACTCTCGCTTAAATTACGTTTAGCTACAGTGAAGCTCGTCTGTGAATCTTGGCCCCGTCTCTCGGGATCTAATCAATGACAATCATACCTCTACTCAAATTTCAAAGCCGACAGTTTCCAATTACATACCTTGTGCTCCCCGTGGTCCTCTCTTCCTTTTCAATTTTCCAGAGGAAAGGATGGTAGGGAAAGGAAATCAACAGCCGTTTACTTCATTTGTTACGACTCAGTCAATATCCCCACAATTGGACCACCCTACTCGGCTTCAGGGTGAGTTTCATCACATGCGTTGTAGCCGCTCGTTCAGGTCTGCATTATAAACGGGAGTGGACCCCGGCTGCCGCGTTGGAGCTATAGGAAGAGGACAGCTCTCATGGGGGAGTGCCATGGCCCATGACCACCTGCGATAGCATTGAATATCAAAACGAACGTGTTCAGAAAGGAATAACACGACCCCGACGGCTCGTTCTAATCGGGTTGGTCCTTCTCGTACCTTGTTATCAAGCTCCGCGATATATTGCTAAGCCCTTAAAGAAGACAATTGGGATTATACGGGGTGCGTGCTTCTGGCATCTATCTCGGTCTTTGAACATGGTGGACTGGATTCCATGTGCGATAGGCACCGTGCTCTGTCAAGCACTTTTGGAAAATGGCTTCATGGTCGAGACCCTGTTCAGCTGTTGGTTAACTCCAGTCTTGTCATATTAAAGTGCCTTGCCAAAGTTAAATTCCTATTATTGGGATAATTTCATAGCGGTCATGTTCTTTGATTCCTCATTTGAGATGCACAACGCCCGGGGCTTTCACGTTCTCAGCCTCTCATCCTCCTCTAGAACTCGAAGAGCTTAAAATATTCCCAGGTCATCTCGCTCTCAGACAAATAAGCCACCAACCCACCAATTTCCTCTAAACACACCTTAAAATGTGTTTGGAGGAATTGGGCTTTTCAGACAGAGATCGTTTAAGGATCGTGATTTTGTGGAGTTCATATTATGAGGTGGGTTTCCACATCCACTATTCATCCTATTTATTTTGCTCGCATCTCCTATGATGCGAGCCATAATGATCTTCTTGCTCTTGAAATATAGCACTTCGAAAATTTCAAGTGACATGCTCCGATACCAATTGAAATGGCTAAAACAACAACTAAGAAAGGGTGATTGGTTGTTTTAAGAAAATTAAAACTCTTTTAGTGAAAGATGTGAGAATGTGCTTTTGTAAAAGGAGAGCAGTTATGCAAGTGTAGTAACTACTATCGAACATATATTAGAAGAGTTAAAAGAGAGAGAAGATATTGTAAGACAGATTCATATTGGTTTGGCCTTTCACTTGGCACACTTTACTCTCTCAACTCTAACCGCCGCGAACAAGACTCGAATCCATTTAGTAATCCCTAAGATTTTAACGGTTTGCAGACGGTGCTCCCCCCCTACAAGAAGCTCGGTAGACGATTCTAAAGACATGAGCACCTCTTACAACCCTACAATCCCCTCTCTTCCCGAGATTTCAAGGAGTTAGCCCTCGCATAGAATTACCACCATCTGAAGACAAATATTGCACAAGCGAAGGCTCGAGTGCATGTTGATGTTGATCTCACCATGCATGGTGCCATCACGAGCTCTTATTTATTGCGTGATTTGGGGGGAGACTTTATGATATGGTCATCTGAAGCTCCCGTGGTGGGTCCTGCTTAACCAAAACCTCTTTATTCAGAGCCGAGTATTGGGGGGGATGATGGATTTTAAAGTATTTTGATCCGGACAAAAGCGACGGTTGGGACGGAATTATAAATTCACTCTACCTTCGAGCCTGCGACATGAGCTAGTGCATGGAGAAAGAGAGAGAAGATACCTTTTGGATCGTCCAAATGGCGTATTCCTAACGGAGGGGCTCTCGGAAAATTGAATGGATTTCGACTTGTGTACTAAAATTATTAAAATTGGTCTGTAAAAATTGAGCAATCGCCGAGATTCCAAGAATTTAGCCCTCACATAGAATTACCATCCGAAGACAAACATCGCACAAGTGAAGGCTAGAGCGTATGTTGCGACATACCGAGAATGCAAGTCCGGAAATTTTGGCCATCTTCAAGGTTACCTTTGCGGTAAGCTGGGAGCTGCTGGTGCAGAGTCAAATGAGCTGTTGGCGGTCTCCTCTAGCAATCACACCCGCAATCCGCGCAATAAGAGTATGATCGAAAAGACGAAGCAGGGTGTTTTTTTCCGCCATTATTAAGATTGATCGATAAGAAATTGACTTATTGAGCAATACGTTTTGTTCGTTAAGGAAGGAGATCAAAAGTAGCATGTGTTTGCCCGGGGGCCCAAAAATCGGGTTCACTTGCCTGAAGCTGATGACGTGAGCCCCGCAGCTCAGCATACGTCATGGGCATGGCGGTCCATGTCGGCATGCAAAAGGACGTTTTAAAAGGGGACCAGGGGCCGACGAGTGGCGGAAAAGTTAAAAAAAGTGCGGTGGTCCGGCCCACGCGGGGGCCCTCGTCTGGCCTTTTCCACCTCGGTAGTAGAGAAGAGGCACAACCGAAGTTCGCCACTTCCTTCGGACTTATCGAGAAAATCCCACGCCCGTCACGAAATGTTCGAATTCAATTTTAACTGCTCCTTGCTACTCGCGATACGAATAGTTGAGATTACGGCACATCGAGGGCTTAGCTAGATTGATTTTTTTGCTTTCATTGATTTAGATATGAGTTAATACCATGAAAAACCCTAAACTGATATATATGTGATAATTTTATCCCAAACTAATTTTTTGACCACAAAAAACTCCAAACTGGTACACCCGTGATAATTTTACCCTCAATTTATTTCCGTTAAATTTTACTGTCAAATTGCTTTATTAAATGACACGCTGCAATTGACTAATGTGCTAATTTTATGTTTTACTTTTCGTTTTTCATGGATGTACCGGTTTATGATTTTTTGTGGTATTAATCCAATTTAACGGAAATTAACGGAGGGTAAATTTATCACAAATGTACCGGTTTGGGATTTTTAGTGATCAAAATATTAGTTTAGGATAAAATTATTACATGTATATCAGTTTAGGGTTTTTCGTGATATTAATCCTTTAGATATTGTGATTCGCGCGTTTCAACGTTTTCTAAGTTCGAAACGAAATTTTCCACAACATTTAAATATTGACACGTGAATCCGTATATGATTATTTTATATTATTATTAGAATTTTAAACAATATTTTGAATTCTGACAAAGGCTTTTTTTCAGGTCCAAACAAACACAGCCCGTGAACCTTTCGGCATAAATTATACTCTTTCGCTATTGTCAAGAGGTGGGTAAGTCTTGCTTCGTAACGCCAAAAAAGGGAGAATCTTTTCGTGGGATGGGGACAAAAGAGGCGCAGGTGAAAACAAGACGAATATTATTAGGTGAGTGCAATAAAATAATGTTGCACAAATTTTATAACTCAAAGTTATATATAAATAGTTAAGCATAGAGAGAAATTCCCATCAATGTATTTGTCTTATATAATGCTAATATTAACATAATATGAATCATTTTGAGCAGCTCATGCAATAAGACGTTAAAGTGATATTTTGACTCGTTATGCTGCGTTTGTTATATAGTATATCTCAAAGTACACGTGATTTATGTATTTTCATTTTAGCAAACGTACTTTTATATTAAGGCGGGAAATATATTTAATACGAAGGAGTCATGATATGAAGATAGAGAGAGGAGGGAAATGGTCAAGGCTGATAAACAGGCAGTAGAATGAATGGAGAGCGCAAGAAAAATTTCATTGCAAAGAGAATGATCGATTCCTTATAAATTTGAGTCTATCCTCGACAGAGATATTGTTGTGACATGTTGATATAGATAGGGTTTTGTTATCTGGTGTCTCTACTAGACTTATTAATCGTACCTAGTAAAAGAAATCTTTTTAATTTCCATGCGCTAGAGGAGGAAAATAATATCTTCAAAATAATAAATTTTTAGTATTCGAACGGGCGCTTGTTAACAAAATCCTAATAAACATGACCGGTTCTATTAGATTTACGTGGAGACGCATTTTGTTTTATAATCAGAGCCTTAGAGGGAACTAGCTGAATACCCGCTTTGCCACGGAAATTTTTTTTTTTCACAATTTTGCTATAGCAGACATTTAATAAGTATGCGCCTATGATTATCTCATGCTTTCAGTCCCATAATTTATAATAATATAATGGTGTTGAGAAGAGCTGTTGCTCTAATCGAGCGATATCGCGTTATAACATGCAATTTTTTTTTACTTTCTTAGTCAAATTAAAATGTAATATTTCCTTCGTTATAGGACTTTGAAGTACTTTTTAATGATTATTTCATATATTACGCCTTCAAATAACCAGTATCTTATGTCGGTTTTATCGAGAAGCTATTAATCATAGTTTTCTTCTGTTAAAGTACGAGAGAAATTAAAAGCAAGGGGCCTCGTTTGAAATTAAATTAAATGAATTAACTAAATTCTACTCCTACAAAGAAACCTCAACCTCAACCACAAGAAAGGTTAACGACCAATCGAGATGAACAAAACTAAACTTTTCGAAACGATTGGCTTAATACTTAAAAGGTGCATAAATGATTGATCATATCCAATTCATCGAAAATGAGAAAATTATCCAAAACATCATAAATCTATTGCATTTTTTGTCAATTTAATTTTAAACCTTTCAATTTTGCCAATTGAGCTCTAAACATTTCATGTTTTCAAATTGAGTCAATTTGATCAATTTTAGTCAGAAATCGCTGATGTGAACACCAGCTATTCTACGTGGCTCGTCTAGCACTGATGTGGATACTTTTCAATAATATTTTAATATTTTTTTGAATTTTTT